TCCCCCAGCCTGTATTGGTACCAGGGGTTGTCCTGACCCAGGTGCAGGACCTTGCACTTGGCCTTGATGAACCTCATGAGGTTCACATGGGCACATTTCTCAAGTTTGTCCAGGTCCCTCTGGATGGCATCCCATCCCTCAGGTGTGTCAACCACACCACTCAGCTTGGTGTTGTCTGCAAACTTGCTGAGGGTTAACTTGATTCCAATGTCTATATCATTGATGAACATATTAAACAGTACTGGTGCCAGTACAGACCGCTAAGGGACACCACTTGTCACTGATCTCCATCTGGGCATTGAGTCATTGACCTCTACCCTCTGGATGCGTCCATCCAACCAATTCTTCATCCACTGAAAAGTCCATCCATCAGATCTATATCTCTCCAATTTAAAGAGGAGGATGTTGTGGGGGACTGTGTAAAAGGCCTTACAGAAGTCCAGCAAGATGATATCCATACCTCTTCCCTTCACCACTGATGTAGTCACTCCATCATAGAAGGCCACTAGGTTGGTGTCCTGGTTCCAGCAGGGATGGGGTTAATTTCCCCAAAGAGCTGGCAGGGGACACAGGTATTCCATCCCATATAAGCCATGCCCAAGCAATAGGGGGGAGCTAGCTGGGGGAGGGGGTAGGAAGTTGCTGCTCCAAGGAAGCTGGGGCAGTCCGGGTCTAGTCAGTGACCAGTGGTACCATAATCGCATTTGTATATTCCTTTATCGGTGTTATTGTTATTGGTTTTCCTCTCTCATTTGCTGTTCTATTAATCTTCCTTTATCTCAACCCACGAGTTTTGCCTTTTTCTTCTCATTCCCCACAGCTGTGGGGAAAATCAGTGAGCCGCCCTGTGGTTCTTTGTTGCTGACTGAGGACAAACGATGACAGTTGGTCAGGCAGGACTTGCCTTGGTGAAGCCGTGTTGGCTGTCTTGAATTACCTCCCTGTCCTCCGTGTGCCTTAGCATAGCTTCTAGGAGGATCTGTTCCATGATCTTCCCAGGCACAGAGGGGTCTTCCTTTCTACCCTTTTTAAAAATGGATGTAATGTTTCCCTTTTTCCTGTCACCAGGGACTTAACCTGTTGCTGATATAGTATTTCACCAAAATGCTGACAGCATTTTGTATGCTTGCTCCATACTACACTGTTAGCTTCTTCTTACGTGTTTTATATCTGGTAAGTTATTTAATGTGCATTACCAATGGTGCTCCTCATAACTCTAGCCACATCAAATATATAGTCTATGTTAGTTTTCTCCTATAGTCAGAAGGCCCAACCAGTGCTAAAACTGTCTTGTCACAGTCATAATTTGAAGAAAAGTATGAGAACTAATTTCTTTTTAAATTAAAATTTAAAAAATTGACGCCAGTGGGATTTTCTGCACTTACTGAAAAGCTTCCAGTGCCTCAGAAAGCAATCCTTGTCTTCAACACATCATACCTTAGCAATACAGTCACAACATAACAAAATCTAATACGGGTATTAGGAGACAAGAAAAAAAAATTCAAGCCTGCTTGGAAATGCTCTCTATATTAACACTGATTTTTTTGCATATTAATCTGTTTAAAGATAATAATTTAGCAGCTACTGCCCACCCAGTGTGGAGCACCCTCCAGATGGTGCAGTCAGCAAGCATCTCGCCATGGCATGAGGCAGAATCATAGAATCATAGAATCGTCCAGGTTGGAAGGGGCCTTTAAGATCATCGAGTCAAACCATCAACCTAACACTGCCAAGTCCACCACATCTACCTGTCTTTTAAATACCTCCATGGATGGCGAGTCCAGCACTTCCCTGGGCAGGCTGTTCCAATGTTTGATAACACTTTCTGTGAAGAATTTTTGTCTATTATCCAATCTAAACCTACCCTGGCACAACTTGAGACCATTTCCTCTTGTCCTATTTCTTGTTACTTGGGAAAAGAGATTGACATCAACCATGCTACAATATCCTTTCAGGTAGTTGTAGAGAGCAATAACGTCTCCCCTCAGCTTCCTTTTCTCCAGGCTAAACAACCCCAGTTCCCTCAGCTGCTCCTCATAAGACTTGTGCTCTAGACCTCTCACCAGCTTTTTTGCCCTTCTCTGGGCACACTCCAGCACCTCAATGTCTTTCTTGCAATGAGGGGCCCAAAACTGAACATGGTACTTGAGGTGGGGCCTCACCAGTACCAAGTACAGGGGAACGATCACTTCCCCAGTCATGCTCACCACACTATTCCTGATATAGGCCAGGTTGCTGTTGGCCTTCTTGGCCACCTGGGCACACTGCCGGCTCATATTCAGCTGGCTGTCCACCAATACCCATGGGTCCTTTCCCACTGGGCAGCTTTCCAGCCACTCTTCCCCAAGCCTGCAGCGCTGCACAGGATTGTTGTGACCCAAGTGCAGGACCCAGCACTTGACGTTGTTGAACCTCATACCATTGGCCTCAGCCCATCAATCCAGCCTTGTCCAGATCCCTTTGTAGAGCCATCCTACCCTCAAGCAGATCAACACTCCCAAACAACTTGGTGTCATCTGCAAACTTACTGAGGGTACACTTGATCCCCTTGTCCAGATTGTTGATAAAGGTATTAAAGAGAACTGGCTCCAATACTGAGCCTTGGGGAACACCAGTTGTCACTGGCCACCAGCTGGATTTGACTCCATTCACCACTACTTTCTGGGCACAGCCGTCCAGCCAGTTTTTTACTCAGCAAAGCGTACACCCATCCAAGCCATGAGCAGCCAGTTTCTCCAGGAGAATGCTGTGGGAAATGGTTTTGAAGGCCTTACTAAAGTCCGGGTAAACGATGTCCATAGCCTTTCCCTTATCTACTAAGTAGGTCACCTTGTCATAGAAGGAGATCACGTTTGTCAAGCAGGACCTGCCTTTCGTGAACCCATGCTTATTGGGCCTGGTCACCTGTTTGTCTTGCATGTGCTATTTAATGGCATGCAGGATGATCTGCTCCATAACCTTCCCAGGCACCAAGGTCAGACTGACAGGCCTGTAGTTCCCTGATCCTCTTTCCGGCCCTTCTTGTGGATGGGTGTCACATTTGCTAACCTCCAGGCTACTGAGACCTCCCCGGTTAGCCAGGAAGGCTGATAAATGATGGAAAATGGCTTAGTGAACACTTCCACCAGCTCCCTCAGTACCCTCAGGTGGAGGGTACTGTTGATGCAGGTATGCCTGCATTGGTTCTGGTCTACCCAGCCACAGGGCAGCCCAATACTTGTTAGATATTGGAAAAAAAACTCCTTTTTTTTTAATATCTTCTACATTACAGCAAGGGAAATTCATTCCTTTTTGTCCATGCTTGGCATGGAGTAGTCCCCCTATGACCAGCCGTTGCTAGGCTCTGGAAATTATTCCTTCACATGGATCCCCAACACAATGAGGGCAGCCCAAAGGCAAGACTTAGGAATGGATGTAATGGGAAGATATTATGAAGAAAGGGAAACAAACATGGATCTGGCACATTCCAGGGAAAAAAATATTACTCCAGGAAAATATTTTACTCAAGAACTAGTCCACAAGTCATACTTTGTGACTAGTCAAGGAAAGCACTAATCTGTACCTACCCAAGCAAACTGAGGTGAAAAATTTTGTAGGGGGTCCCCCATTAAAAACTTGGTGAAAACATAACTTTGAAACCATCTGCTCTGACTGCATGCAGTATTATTCCAGACATTTGTATCTTGAAACAAACACCCTGAAACCTTGTGAATGCATTTTTCCTAATGGAAGAGAATGCTGTTACTCTTCTTTAAGGCTATTTTCAAGGTGCTTATGGTATGCATAAATTTTCTTGTCTTTCACAACAGTCGGACGCAGCTTCAGTGGTGGTGTCTGGTAGGTAAATGTGTCTCTGCTAAGGACACTGGTGGTTCATTAACATACTCTAGGTTTGAGTTTGGCTCAGGATAACATTTCTGACAAGATCCAGACATATTTAGAAAGATGCATGCTTGCTCTCATGTCATTCTAACCTAAATAGGATTTTCTACCAGTAGTAATTCCAGTGATTTCAGAAACTGTTTGAGAAGTTACCTGTTATTCATTATTTTTAAAACAAAATACAACAACTCTGACTCTCTTTGATGCATATGTTGCTTCTATTCTATATCTCATGTCAAGCCTAGCATGCTGCTCCTCTATGTCCCCTTTATAAATAGGGAAAATAGGAACTAGTGATCAAATACAAATATAACATAAAACCCTGGAATATAATTAAACCTTCTTTGAAAAGGTATCCAAAAACTATTCAGTATTTACTGGGTTTGGGGGGGGGGGGGAGGCTGGGTGTTGGTGAAATTTAATTTTAACGGTCATATTTTTAAAACTGAAGTCACATCATGGAGAACAGACAGACCATAAAATACTGTACAGGATAGGAATATATCCTGACAAGGATTAGTGAAGCACTGGGGAATTCAATAGTGCTTCGTTCATATTGTGCGAGAATTATGTAATGTATCTCTAAGAATTGTGTCAGTATAAAAGCACGCGAGCCTGATTTTTAGAGAATTAGCAGGGAACATACTAAGAATAGTTTGTTCATGGCAGTGGAATTCAGTTTCACTGTTTAGAGATCTCAGTCTTGCTTTTCATTTTCATAGTGACTTCCACCTTGCGTTCTGTGAATTCTCCACAAATGTTGCTGGTTGAATAATGGAAGTATTTGTGAACTTGTTTTTCATTTTGAAATTAGCTTTTGAGGTACATGTGTTTTGCAGTCTGTTGAGTCCTTGTGTGCTCAATGGATGGGGAAGTCAAGCTTTATTGTGAAAAATGAATTTTTATGGCTTTGTACTATACTTTTTGTGTTGAAGGAAGGGCAGGCTGACTCAGCCCTGTCTTACGGGTATTATCAGTATGAGTGGGCTTGCACAGGCTTACTTTAATTTTTTTTTAATCTCTATCCAAAAGCTATCTATCATAACATACATAGTATGGAAATAACTTTACAGAGGTAACAAGGAACTAACTGTCTTCCTTTCTTCTTCTCTCTGTAGTTTGTTGCTCAGCCCAACTGCCAGCAGCTGCTCGCATCCCGCTGGTATGACGAGTTCCCTGGATGGAGGAGGCGACACTGGGCTGTGAAGATGTTGACATGCGTTGTGATAGGACTCCTTTTCCCAGTCTTCTCTGTGTGCTACCTGATAGCTCCCAAAAGCCCACTAGGGCTGTTCATCAGAAAGCCATTTATCAAATTTATCTGCCATACTGCATCCTACTTGACTTTTCTGTTCCTGCTATTGCTTGCCTCTCAGCACATTGACAGGTCAGACTTGAGCATGCAGGGACCACCACCAACCATCGTCGAGTGGATGATATTACCGTGGGTCCTGGGTAAATGTATTACTAAAGAAAATACAGTGAAAAGTGTTTTGACCCCTGTGGTATTGCCAAGTATTCTTGAGGCAGGAAGATACAGTAGAGAGTTCTGGCATGAATTATTGACCTACCAAAATAGGCAAATGGTCCATCTCCTCCTATACCTAGCAAGAGTAGTAGACAACTTGGGAAGAGTTTAAAAATCCAAAGTGTCACCACCTGATATATTGCAGTGAGGGAAAGCAAAAAATATCGGAGGTTCCTTCCTGTGATTAAGCAGTGCTCTGACACAGACATATTCATATTCTTTTTGATATCTGTTTTCTCTAGGCCAGAAATTGTTCTGCTTCTTTTAAGTGTCTTTTTTTTTTTTTCTGTTAGTCTACTTGTAAAAAAGGTCCCTTTGTCACAATAATTTTTTTTTCATGTATTAGAATGAGGCAGTGTCATTTCTGGAGTGTTATCATTAATCTTAGTTGCCTACAGTATGCTTCTTTCTAATATGACAGACCCGTCTATTGCAAATAGTGCTGACCAGCATTTTCAAGTGAGTATTTTCATTAAAATATGTTTGCAGAATATTTTTTCTGTGCAAAACCATTGATGAGAACTTGTGACTCAACTTCACACACAGATCTTGACATGCCAAAGTGGGTTTTATCATTAACCTATCTTTTTAAAAAAATAAATCAGAGCCCAGAGAAAAAGGCACAATTTGAAAATTACCCTTTTCAAATTGGGGGGCTAGTTTCAGTTAAAGGCAGTCCTAAAATTTTGATCACCAGTTCCTCTCCAGGAACCATGCGGTGGGAAGAGGAAGAACCTTCATTGCTCTCAACCTCTGACACTGTTGTTTTCTTAGGAAGGGGTTTAAGGAAGTCATCATTCCAAAGCACTTGTTTGAAGAAGCCATTAACCCTGAGAATTATGACTATCAAGATGACTATCATTTCTAAAAGCAGCATTAATATTTGCAGTATAGACTCATATGATCGGATTATGCCAGTACTGCCTGTGATGAATAAGCCCGTCCTCTACAAGCAGTACAGGCCAGGTCAAGGGAACTGCTTGCATAAACAAATATTCATAAGCATGAATAAAGATCAATAGTCAGATACCATGTGGTCAAATAGCTTGTGGTTAAATCTAGACCATAACGTTCAGAGAAACCGTGCCTTCCAAAATCTCTTCATCTAAAGCAATGCATTTTATCTCTAGTGGTTCCTAATTGGTGGTTTCCTGGAGTTCCAGTTTGAGGTTTGCTGGGTTCAGTGTTCAGATTTTGGTTGCTGCCATGCCTTATCCCACCTAAATAATAAGGCCCCAGTTTCACCCATGATAATCTCAGGCAATTCATTAGGTACCTAAGTTCCCTCTGTCACTGAAGGAGACAGATGCACATGGCCATAAGGATACTTCAGCTCACAGCGTGTGATGAACGTGTCTATTTCAGCTTTTTTTTTTTTTTTTTTTTTTAAAGGAATGAATCTCAGCCAAAACCTGCTGTTTTCATATTCACATACATACAAACTGTGGTCTAGTCATCTTTTAATAAACTAAATAGTTTTATTAGTTCTTTATCAATAAGCTAAGGTTAGTTTCCAGGCCACAACTTAGTCTGTCATCTTATCTCTTCAAACTATACAGTCATGCAGTATCCTTAAAAAAAGTAAATGCAGCACTTTTGAATTACACAAGGCAGCCTAATCTGAGGTACATAGATAGATCTTTGCATTTTTCTGGATGTAGACGAAACATGTTGAAGTCTGAGACAAAACATGATCAAGTAAAACCTTTTTGCAAAGCAAAGGTTATCCTGGAGCAGCTACAGCATGCCAAAACTATTAACATTTTAAACAACCAAATTCTTTGTTTGTCTTTCTCTTAATTCAAGTAGTTCTACTTGTAATTTGCATTTTAATAGCTACCTCCCTTAAAATGAAGAGAGGAAGAGGAGGTCTACTTTGCAGGCTTCTCATCGACATGAATTTCGGTATATGTATATTTCATAGAATTTAAGAAGTTTCAAGATTGTCCATAATGATCTAAGCTCTCCAATGATCAAACACTAAATAGCATTTGCCAACTACTATGTAATAGAAGGCCAAATGTGCATAATTAGCATATATTAAAAGTGTCACTAGAGTCGCAGGCTCAGAGGAAAAACCTGTATTGGGCTGTATTTCCATGGAGACTATTGATTTTACATTTTAAAAGTCTGTTAAGGAAACTTCTGCATTAGTTTTGTCTTTTACATGATTAAATGATTACACAAGTGGTGTTATAGTATGTGGCAATTATCTGTGGAACAATAAGTCAGTATAACAAGGCTAATGTTATAGCTTTAAGCAGCAGTCCTGGAAAAATCTCTCGGAAAGAAGTGTCAGAATCTCCTGTCCTTGCATTTAAACAAATAATAAACAAGCTTTCACTGGGAAGGAAAATTAATTCTTGTTATTAGCTGTTGATTCAGATCTCCCTAGCATGCCTGTTGCCTCACACTACAGAAACATAGGCCTGTTTCCTATGCTTGAGAATCCATCACCACTGAAAAAAAAAAGGACAGGAGAAACAAGAACCCCATCTTGGGAAAAAAAATAAGGAAAACAATATTTTCCATCATCAAATTACCCATCCAGTTGCTGAGTGGCCTCTGAGCATAATAACAGCGATGCAATGGGGAAATCAAATAAGACCCGGCTTCACTCTCTGTGTGTCTTGGCTGGAGCTCACGTAAGGATCATATTGATGCCTGCAGACTTGCCATACCTCTTCTGCTCTAAACCCTAGCTTCAAAGTAAACAGTGACCATGCTAAATGTCCTTGCAGTGGGCATTTGGCTCACCAGGGAATGCTACGAAATTCAGAGGAGAAAAGCCACGACCAGACAAACGTGGTGCTTAGTAGATGGGGTTAAAAATTTCCCTGCCAGTTATTCAGGGTGCCTGCAGCAAAAGAACATTTTTTAGGCAAATTTGTTTTGATGAGTTTGTTGCTCTTTTATGGTCATCTTTAAATGTTCATCGTAATTATGTTGTTCAGAATAGTGCCTGGAGCAGGAATTTTTTTTTTTTAAACAAGCCATTCCCCATCCTTTCTGTCAGTGGTTTATCCTATTGGAGTATGTGAATCTATAGAGAATGTGGATGCTTGGGAACTGTGCAAACGGCAGACATTTGTGGTCAACAAACTGCTGGTGGAATGTATGGGAGTGTACAGTTTTGTCAGTACTTAGCACAATGTACATCCAAACTGATGGCACAGCAACACACTTCAGATTAAGTGATCATCGAGGTGTCAAGGACATTGTGCATCATCTTCTAAATTTGGTCAAGAAAGTGTTGTGTAAAATGTTAAAACAGTTAGTACAAATGGATGTGTTCCAGGGAGCAGATATAAAGGATAATATGGACAGCAAGATGAAACAGTACATAACCAGTAGTGACAAATAAAGTGCAGAAGAGGAAAATAATCCCAGACAAAGCTGAAACACAACTTCAGTCAGAAAAGTTAATGACCATTCAAGACCATTTAGTCCAAACTACTGCTCAACATAGGCTAACTACAAAGATAGTTCAGATTGCTCAGGTCCTTGTCTACTCAAATCTGGAATTTCTCCAGGAACGGATATTCCTCTGCCTCTCTCAGCAACCTGTGCCTGTTTCTAGCCACTGGTGAGCTTTTTTCCCAGTATCAGCTGGAATATCCCATGCCATAATGTGCAACCATTACTTCTTGTCCTTCGAATGTGCACCTCTAGGACAAGTGTGGCTCCAATTATTCGTAAGCAGCAATTTCATTAGTGGATGACAACAGTAATAGTCCTCCATTAGTGTCCTCTTCTCGAGGCTGAACAAACCCAGTTCCCTCAGCCTCTTCTTGTATATCATGTAGTCCAGCCCCCTGTCACCTTGATGGCGTTTCACTAGGTTCACTTCAGCCAGTTAATATCCATCTTTTGTTGGAGATCCCAAAACTGGACCCACTAATGAAATTATTTATTTAAACATCAGGAGAGCCACTTCTTGTCAGGGCTGCCGGATTCTTGCCAAAACAGGACCTTTTACTCAGTTTCTTGTAGATTTACCAGGTTTAAAATATTTAAGATTAACATTTTCTATGTAGATGATTTTATTTTATTCTTTGGTTGTTGTTGGTGTTGGCAAATAAGTGTCTTTGTGTGTTTGATTTAATCTAGAATGGTGTTGCTGTTTCCAAAACTGAGGCCAGAGAAAAATGTCTTGTTTTGATTATGGTAAAAAAACTCAGGAGGCTTTTTACTTGGGAAAACACTTTCAGTGGTTCTGTGACCTCCAGTTAAATATGGGTAGCCTTTGTAAATGTGTCTTCCATCTAAAATGCAGCTACAGACTCTTCTTTGGTTTCTGAATCCCATCCATAGTGTCAAACCAGCCATAATCAGTGGCAGAGATGTGATCCCTGGACACGGATACCCCTGCACTTAGCAAACCTAGAAGCTTTTACTTTATCCTGTCTTCTAATCGTTTCCTTAAGCATTCAGGATCAGTCACAATTTAGGCTAGATGGAACACTGCTCTGCCTGTTTTTAATGGTCTTTTACAGTGTTTAAATAGAGAACGAAAACTAAAGGGGGTTCTCTTCTTTAATGATGACTGTCTGAATGTTCATTTTAAATACACTTTTATTGACTATGGAAAACTTCCCGCCCACAGGCAGTGCTTTAGAGCTGCAAACAAGGACTCTGCTTTTACAAGATAATATAAAATCGTTATATATAGACAAGTATTCAGTGCAGTCAGATGTTTTCTTGTAAAGACAATATTTTGCGGATGGAAGCAGGTTTTGGCAGGATCCTGAGATACTCTTTGGACTTCAGTCCTGTTTTCCATTGAGTACCGTTTTCTTGCCCCTCCAGCATGCAAATATTTCACATTTTCATAACATTACAATAATGTAGCTCGAGGATAAAGAAAACATAAAAAGCCTGCAGTGTGTGTACAAAGCCTGGCTTTGATGCCTTTGCTTCCTAGTAG